CCCGGCCCACCCCCGGGTCCGCCTATGTCTCTCTCTCTCTCTCACCTCAGCTTGACGTACGGCTTGACGCGGACGAGGCGCAGCTCGAGGGCGGTGAGGAAGGCGAGCGAGCCGTGCGACCAGGGCAGGGCGCGGTGCAGGTCGGCGTGCTCGTTGTCCCGGGTGGCGCGCACGAGGCCGCCGTCGGCCAGCACCACCTCGTACGCCTCGATGGTCTCGTGGTACAGCCCCGCCTTGTGCGAGTGCGTCGTCATGCCCGTGCCCATGGCCAGGCCGCCCAGGGTGGCGTCGGCGATCTCCAGGGTGACGGCCAGCGTGTAGCCCCGCGGCACCAGGAAGCTCGTGATCTGGCCCACCGTCACCATGGGCTCCACCCTGACGGTCATGCCCTCCTCGTCGAGGCCCAGGATGTCGTACAGCGGCACGGGCACGCGGTGGCACTGGTCCTTCCGGAAGAAGGTGGTGGAGAGGCTGAGCCAGTTGGGCCTGGCCGTGCAGAGCGGCCTCCGCGAGGCCGACGGCTGCGCCGCCCAGCGCCGCACCGCCGCCTGCACCTCGCGCACCCTGGAGGCGGACAAGAGGAACGCCAATCAGTTGGTTTGGAGAGGCGCAGCTGGGCCCTTTATCGCCGTGCTCGGCAACACGTGCAGAGATAACAGACACGACCGGCCCGACGCCTGTGCTGCTTCCGTAACGCCGGCCGGCTGGGGCCACAGACCCCGTTAAAATTGTTGTTTTTTGCAAAAATAAAGTTTTTGGACATTTTTATTATTCTTAGTCTAGACTTTGTATACGTCTTCACTTGAGGACGGCGCCAAGCCTGAAAGCAGTGGCTTGACGAACGAAATTTAAAGAGAAATGGATGGCGACCTGTTGAGAAGTAGTAACCAACAACTTCACATCTCTTACAAATAAAATAAATATATCTTGAAAACGTGCATCTATTATTGAAAGAAGAAAAAAAAAGTTTGAATTATCAATAATTCCGTCAACTGGCAGCTTTCTGGGCCTGGGCCCAGAGCTGTGCAAAATCGCCGAATCTGATCGACAGACACTGGTCGGGCCCGGTCAGCGCTGACCGCGTATAAGGTGAGATGCGAGGGGAGAGGGACAGAGAGGGCGCTCTTCTCCTCACCTTGCACGCGGTCAGCGCTGACTGAGCCCGGTCTCAGTGCCCGCACTGTACACCCAAAAAAATGTGCTCTCAATTCAAGTATTGCTCTTAAAAATTTTGAGTCCCATTTCTTGTTTTAAGTCCTGTTTGTTCCTTAAAACAAGAAATGGGGCTCAAAATTTTAAGAGCAATACTTGAATTGAGAACACATTTTTTTGGGTGTAGGGCGAGTACCTGCTGTCATGGTGCTGCGGAGAGGCGCGCCGCTGGCGCAGCCAGGCCTGCGCGCTGAGCAGCAGCGAGAAGACGAAGCTGGCCGGCAGGCAGAAGACGAGCACGACGAGCTCGCGGTGGTCCTCGAGCCAGCGGACGGCGCGGGCCCTCAGCCCCGGGGCGGCAGCCGCAGCAGCGGTGGTCATCGCGCTGAGCTCGGCGGGAGGACTGGCCCCATAGAGGGGACGACCGGGCGGCGGCCCGCGGGCCGAGCCCAGTGATAGGGAGACAACAGCCCGCCTCTCAGCCCCGCAACTGACCGCCAGCCAGGCCAGACGACGACAAACAGTAACACACTCGCGCGACTCTCGAGGTGAGCTTCACCTTCACTTTCGCGCCCGCGGCCAACAAAACAAACACGAAAACAAAACACAACAAAGTGGAACGAGAAACATTCAACATCGAACTGTAAACACTGCCCACACACGGTCACAGATTAAAGCTGCTTAAGAAATACGAACATTCACGTGAAATAAATAATGCACTCCATAAAGGTACGAATGCTGCCGTTAGTAGCAAAGTAAAAACACGACATGTTTGAAAAGAACGCCCCCACTGCACGACTAGTCGGATCAGCCAGAGCAACTAGAAGTTTGCTGCATAACACATATTGTAGTTGCAAACGTGCATCAAGTACTGACAACACAAGTCGATCGGGACAATGACAGCTAAACTGTGAGTGCAAAGCATGCAAAATGTAAACGTCGTAGAACAACAAAGTGTATTGGATTAGCTCCTAGACAATAAATAGGGCGGAGAGCAAGACCAACGCGTCTCCCACTCGCGCCCACAGCCCACAGTATAAGTCTCCCGAGCATGTCTACCGGCGCGTCACCGTAAGGTCCCCGCGACGAGCCGACGAGAAGACGAGCACCAACCGCACCCGCCATGTGCCCGCCGACACTGAATCTGGATCTATGATACTTTTATCACAAAAGTTTGCAAAATTTTGCTTTTCCTCCGATTTATCGCTTTTATAGACATGATAACTTTTTATCGCAAAAGAACATGCAATAAAAAGTATGTTATCACAAAAAATAAAAATATGTTATCACAAAAATAATATGATAACTTTTTATCGTAAAGTGTAGCGTAGAACGGGAGGTAGTATTTACGCGTATCACAAAAACTTGCGATAAAAAGTTATCACATTATTTTTGTGATAACTTTTCCATATACTTATTATTGCATGTTTTTTTTTTCGATAAAAAGTTATCATGTCCAGAAAAGCGATGAATCGAAGGAATCGCAAAAAACGAGTTATGCCAGAAAATGAGGGTTAATTTATCACGAATCCAGAATTTAGTGGACGAACACCGCTGGTTAAGGAGCGAGCCGCGGCAGCCAGATTTAAGCCAAGAACGGTTTCCCCAAACCCCTGCATTTCACGAGTCGGCCTCAATGTATTTGTGTGAATCACTGCGACACCGATGCAGATCTTATACAACGTAAAGTGCCGACGCGCTGGTGTCTACTTCAATAGTTTGTCAACTCACCACTCTATCGGTATGGGCGGGTATTTGAGTCCCGGTCGGTCCCGGTACTTCTTGCTGAATGACGAAGCATACGGCGCAGGCAACGATAACTTTCCTACCGGTTAGCATAGCGAGCACACCGACGAACTAAGAGACAGACCTCCCCGACCAATGCGACTACGATCGGCGAGGAACAAGAAGGCAGGAAACACCTGTAGCAGGGTTAGCGCGTTCCGCCTGCGAGAGCGACCGCGTGCTCTTCGATATAATCGAATCGATGCGGTACGGCATCGAGACCTGGCGGTCTGATAGCGGTACCGACGGGTACCGACGAGGACGTGCGGCCCCTGGAGTCGAATCTGGTTAGTGAAGGTGGACCACGATCACAAAGCAAATTGGCGCATAAAACGTTAACATTCCTATCGGTTTGCAGGGTGAGCAAAGCGAAAGACAATAAGCTCCCCAACAACGGTCACTCCGCCCAGAAGTAGGCCACCCATGAGAAACAAGAAGGCGGGAAGCATCTGTTGCAGGGTTAACGCCTTCGCCTGCGAGAGCTTCACCGCGATCTTGGACATAGAAAGGTGGATGTTAAAGTCTGCTAGTTTGGTAAAGTGCGACAGAATACCCGCCTGCTGTGACCGAATAAGGATCTTGTTCAGCGCACTGGCGAGCGGCGATCCCCGACTAGTTACACCACAGAAAATCAAGTGTGACGAGGTTAGCGGAAAACCATGCACCATCTTCGGCATACCCCACCTAAGGCGATTTCTAGCTGAATCCTCGTTGACAACTGCAATCAACGCGGAATCTCGAGCAACCACAACATGTTCGTGCAAGTGCTTAAAGCCATCGAGGGAGCGTATAACTTGCACACGGTCACGCAGGCGGTCTGGTAGCACGCTTTCGATTTGGGTGAACGCCTCGTAGGTCGCGTAGACGGGCAGTCCGCTGTCCTCCAGGTCCTGTAGGCTGTTGATCTCCCCGCGAAACTGCGCCGTGGACAGCTTGCCCAGCAGCAGCCCCTGGTAGGCGGCCACCAGCACGACGCACACGAGCAACCACACGCCGAGCAGCGGCCGCAGCGCGCGGCCGGCGGGCGGGGGCGTCCCCGGGCCTTGGCCCAGCAGGGGGGCCAAGGCCAACAGCAGCGCCGTTCCGCGGTCCCGGCGGAGGGTGCAGGCCAGGGCGACCGCGGTGCTCAGCGCAGCCAG